ACAGAGCTTAACAAAAAGGAAGGGTGCAATGCCTCCCCTCCTTTTTGCTAAAGCCCCACGCCCCTCACCTTTTGAAAAGGCACGGAGCTTAACAAAAAGGAAGGGAGCAATGCCTCCCCTTCCTTTTTGCTAAGCCCCGTTGTGACGTCGTCTGTAGCGTTCTCTATTTATTTGATCTATGTTATGTAATATAATAACCCCCGAGTCTGAAGATCTATTCTATTCTTAATTTTGCCTGCCACTGCTGATGGTCTTTTATAGAAGACAACTGGATTAGGTCAGAAACTGCATGATAGTCCAAACCATATTTACAGACATGGTAAACTCAATGAAAAATCCAAACTTCATGATGAGGGAAGAATGTTGATGACCTGGAGAGGCTCAGAAATTGGTGATTTAGAGATCACCTGGTGGCAGCAAGTGTAAAAGAGTGAGGTTTGTTTACCTTTGTGTGCTCAGAGGCTTGAAGGTCAAGCAAGGGGCATGAGGGTGGACGTCACAATCCTGTGCCTTCACAAAAGGCAGTGGTAAAGATCTGCCTTTTGTGTATAAACAACCCTCAATTTTTTCTCAAATTATTTAAGGAAAAGGTGTTGTTTTATACATGGAAAAATATGGTAAGCACAAAAAACCCAGAACCCCACCCCTGCTATTCTTGGTTCTATCCCATGCATGGACACACTTTAGGCTTGTGATTTTTTTTTAAACAGGAACCTTGGGACCCAATTAACCATAGTTTGTTTGATGCAAAAAACATACAATGAAAGAATTGTGAGCCCAGATATTCACTTTGTGCTTCAAAACTGGAAAGAGCTCTCCCACACAAAAATCCACTACTGATTATGACAAATTTAAATCATTACACCAATGTAACTAAGGTGAGAGAGGTGTTGCTGGTATCCTTAAATTACTAAATGTCCTAATTTCTTGCTAATCTGCTACATATTACCTAGAGATTACCAGTGCTACATTCTGCCTGGTCAGTTTTTATTCCAAAAATAACCCCCGAGTCTGAAGATCTATTCTATTCTTAATTTTGCCTGCCACTGCTGATGGTCTTTTATAGAAGACAACTGGATTAGGTCAGAAACTGCATGATAGTCCAAACCATATTTACAGACATGGTAAACTCAATGAAAAATCCAAACTTCATGATGAGGGAAGAATGTTGATGACCTGGAGAGGCTATGGGCTGTAATGTAATGTCCATTTAATTTTAACTTCCCTTTAATTGTGCTTATGTCATTTCACGTTATTATCACTGCTGTGAACCACTTGGTCTGGTGGGTGGTACAGAAATTTAATATATAAACTAATTTATTAACTAACTACTAACTGTGGAACAACGTCACCTATCATCAACTAGAATTAGACTAAAAGTACTTTTGAGCAACCTTTGCCAAAATTGTGTTCTAGATGTGGCAAAGTTCTGTTCAAACATATTTTAAACTTTAAAACAGGGGGGGTCCAACCTTTCACCTTCCCTGGGCCACATTAGGAGAAGAAAATTTGGTTTGGGCCGCAAATAAATTTGGTTTGGGCCACGTGGGGGGGCAGCCCTAGCCATCCTCCGCAGCCCCGCTCCAAGTGTGCTTACCGGCAGCTGCGATCTCAGATAGCAGAGGCTGCCAGCTTCGACTCCAGTGGCTTTATGGGGCCTGGAGGGGGTCCACCTATTGACAGGGATGGTGCAATGCAGTCACACAGCCCCCCTCTCCCCTCCCTTCCCGCTCCTTCCTTCCTTCCCTCTGTCTCCCCCCACTGTTGTGACGTGCCCCAGCCGCATTCCGGCTAGGGTTGCCAGATGTCAGGCACAAGGAGGACATGTCCTCCTTTTTAGCCTAATTAATTTTAACTTCCCTTTAATTGTGCTTATGTCATTTCACGTTATTATCACTGCTGTGAACCACTTGGTCTGGTGGGTGGTACAGAAATTTAATATATAAACTAATTTATTAACTAACTACTAACTGTGGAACAACGTCACCTATCATCAACTAAGAATTAGACTAAAAGTACTTTTGAGCAACCTTTGCCAAAATTGTGTTCTAGATGTGGTAAAGTTCTGTTCAAACATATTTTAAACTTTAAAACAGGGGGGGTCCAACCTTTCACCTTCCCTGGGCCACATTAGGAGAAGAAAATTTGGTTTGGGCCGCAAATAAATTTGGTTTGGGCCACGTGGGGGGGCAGCCCTAGCCATCCTCCGCAGCCCCGCTCCAAGTGTGCTTACCGGCAGCTGCGATCTCAGATAGCAGAGGCTGCCAGCTTCGACTCCAGTGGCTTTACGGGGCCTGGAGGGGGTCCAACTATTGACGGGGACGGCGCAATGCAGTCACACAGCCCCCCTCTCCCCTCCCCTCCTGCTCCTTCCTTCCTTCTCTCTCCCCCTACCATTGTGACATGCCCCAGCCACATTCTGGCCGCAAGCACCAGCAGTGTAACTTGAAATTTTGGAATTTCTTTAAAAATAAAAAATTGCACTGGACCACATTATGAGCCGACCTGGGCTGCATGCGGCCCTTGGGCCACAGGTTGGACAAGCCTGCTTTAAAACTTGCCATGGTGTATTATTAAACCTAAATAAACTTGAACGTGAACTTGACTACTTACTATTCTAGCTGCCCTGCTTCCTGTTAGTAGTGACCACATTCACCTCAGCACTAAGAAGTACCGTGGGAGAAGACTGTCTGTCTAGCATAGACCAGTATTCCATTATATAACCATATAAGCATCACCATCATCTTGGAATTTGAACCTTTGGATCATCCAGTGCAGCCCCTGTCAGTGGGGAAACAAACTCTCAACCTCTGGCTCTGCAGCTAGATACCTAAACTACTGAACTATTCAGCAGTTAACTTCAATAGAAAACACCAGTGAGGAATGCAAGTGCAAACACTGGAACATAAGCTTCTACTTCCATAATACAGATACTTCTAGATCTATCATGACCTACTACAAGAACACAGTCTTAGCTGCCTTATTACCATCAAGTCAGATTTACATCAATACTGAAATATTGATATTTCTACGTCTCAAGAAAGTTAAGTAATAGAAACGGCCTACGGTCATGGGCAATCAGCATTTTCATGGGCTTTATACAAAACTTTGTTTATATTAGCAAATTTTCATGTAAACCATATTCAAAATTCAACTGTAATACAGTATACTACCTGTATAAAAGCATAGTTATCATAGTTTGCCAGGCACCAATGTAGTGCTTAATCAGATGCCCCACTGTGTAACTAGAATATTATGAGGCATTAGAGAAATACACAACAAACTAACTCCTGTTGCTTGTGAGTTTGCTATTAATGTGATTGCACAAGACACAAATATTTGGTCTAAGTGTATCTAGCCTCTCATTTCATGTGACTCCAATTTTATTACTATTCTCAACTTGTTTTCATCTCAAGAGTAGCTCTATGTCTCCATATATTATATATTATGAGCTTAGAGAAATTAAACCACGGTAAGCAGTAGTAGGCACACAGTCTCTAAGGATTAAAAGCTGTATGTAAACTAAATAATCAACCTTTTTATTTAAGGAGCACACAAACCACATCTCAACATTTTCAGGACTACTGCTTTATGAAACCTTACCAAAGATTTTTTACTTTGTAATAATGCATAAAATATTGGAAGTAAGCTCAATTTTCAGTTCAGAAAAGAAAGATACAGAACAGGAAGGAGGCATGGAAAGCCAACATGAAGCACATACTAGACTATGACTCTCATGCTTACAGAATTCATCTATACTACTTGTCCTGGATTGTAGTTCCATTTTACTGAATCCATTGCACCCAATAAACCTTCTGAGCCCCACTGAGGAGTTTCATTGCGACCCCCAGTAGGCTTCTATGGACCAGCAGGGACCTGAAGCCAAATCCCTTGAGTTTTATTCCAACACTCTATCTGCTACACTACAGTGGCTCTCACACACTTGCTCCCAAATAATTTTCAAATCAAATTTTGAAATGTTCATCATCCTCTTCTTTTGCTGTTTGCACTGCATATATTACTTCTATCATCTTGTCTTGTCCTGTGCATTCTGGTATTTTTTCTAAACCATTTTGAAAACCCATTACTGTAGAGCTTTTCTACTGCCACAAATCACTCATACAACCCACCTTAAATTTCCAGCACTTTGTATTAACCATGTAAACTTAAAGTTACAAACATTTTGGCATAAAACATGTCATTTTGTGGTCTACTTCATCTACCTTTCTATTGCCACTAACTCCAGTGATAAACTCTAACTCCAACAGTAACTGACAAGCTTTAGAAATACTGTATACTGATGGACTGAAGAGGATTAAGAATGTACTAGACTATACATAAAAAAAGCAGAGACATCACCTTGCCGACAAAGGTCCACATAGTCAATGCTATGGTCTTTCCAGTAGCGATGTATGGAAGGGAGAGCTGGACCATAAAGAAGGCTAACCACTGCAGAATTGATGCTTTTGAATTGTGGTGCTGGAGGAGACTCTTGAGAGTTCCCTGGACTGCAAAGAGAACAAACCTATCCATTTTGAAGGACATCAACTCTGATTGCTCACTGGAAGGACAGATCCTGATGCTGAGGCTCCAATACTTTGGCCATCTTATGAGAAGAGAAGACTCCCTGGAAAAGACCCTGATGTTGGGAAAGTGTGAAGGCAAGAGGAGAAGGGGATGACAGAAGACGAAATGGTTGGACAGTGTCACCGAGGCCTCATGTGCTCTGGTCCATGGGGTCGGGGAGGCAGTGGAAGACAGGAGGGCCTCATGTGCTCTGGTCCATGGGGTCACGAGGAGTCGGACACAACCTAACGACTAAACAACAACAAAGTCTATAGATATTAGCTCAGCTTCTTTCATTATGTCTCTTGACAACTATGGATAACCAAAACCCCACCATACTGAGATCTAAAGATATATAATGTCCCTTCAATGTACACTGCTCACATCCAGCTCTACAACTAGGAAGCAAAATGTAGGGAGTACAAACAACTTACGCATTGCAGTATGGCTTCTTCTCATAGCCCTTGTAGTTCTTCATATTGAGGGTCATCTTGCAGACTTCACAGTGGAAACATGCCTTATGCCAGTACTGGGGAAAATGTGAGAAACAACTGTAAACATAAAAAGTTTCTAGTGGCAATTCTTTGTTGAATGATGTTGTTTCCAGTAGCCAGATGCCATGTGTTTAGAACTTATACTCCAAAGATTTCTGCAGCAAATCTGCTCCTGGCACACACCCCCAAAAAACTTTGATACCTTTCTGACAGTCAAATTAGATTAGATACAACCATCTTTCTATTCTAATTACTCAACTGAAAACACTTTGGCTGAAAGCCAGCAGTAAGTCACAATGAGAGTAGGCTCACTGAATCAGTGGAACACACATACGTGTTGACTCATCAAAATCTCACTGATTCAATGGGCCTCTACTCCAGTTGCAACTTACCACTGGATTTCAGCCACTGTGTTTAAAAGCAAGAACAGGGAAAACATTCTTTATATTCAGCCAGTGAGCTAGCTGTTTGTTTTAACAAACAAGCATTATCAGCTTGTACAGTTTAGGAAGCACTATTAAAATTGTGTTACACTAGTGCAGTTACCATACATGAAATATTTGCAACTCACCATCTGGCCACAGAAAAAGCACCCACCCCTATGGCAAGTTACCTTAATTAAGTGTTGATAACCTGAAGGAGCTCTCCTTCCACTGTAAATGTGAAACAAACCTATGCTTCCCATCTAGTCTTTAAAGATACTGTCATGTGTGACTGATGCAAAAGCAGCCTTGATTCCCAGACAATACACCACTGAGAGGACGGTATGTCTTCTACTAATACAAATATAGAAGAAAACTACCACAATATGCTTTGATTGTATTCCTGCAGTGAACACAGAGTTGGACTTGATGGCCTTGTAGGCCCCTTCCAACTTCACTTTTCTATGATTCTATGGGAACAGATAGCACTGGATTGCCAATTACAGCTGTTTTGTTATAACATGCCTGCCTGTCTGCTAAATACTGTGTCCTGAAAAATGTGCCGATTTCCTCCAAATTCCATAACTGGAAGTTCTAATTATCTAGCCTTGTTGTGCAAGTTATGCAAATTAATAAAAGGCTATTTAGTTTGCCTTCTATTCCATATACTGTTTTGGGAGTACAGTGGATCCCAATTTTTTTTAAAAAAAACAAAAACAAACTGATTTAAATCATGATTTAAATTTTAAAAATTGACTTTTTAAATTAAAATTGCCAAAAAAATCTAATTTCAAAAATCTAAATCATAATTTCAATCAAATCCACCCTGTTTGGGAGACTCTGAAAGTTATTCAGTACTGACACAAAGGGAAATGTGGAGCACTATTCAGGAGCAGCAAAACAGCTACATTACTGGAGAATTAATTAGATTTGCACTGAGACGTTTACATGTATTGAGAAATTAACCACGTTGTAAGAGTATAAACAATTTGTGAATGTTCACTATCATTCAATGGAAAAATCAATGATTCAGAAACATATCTTACAAGAAAAATAATCTTAGAATACTAAGAATATTAAAGTCTCACAGAAATGTCTTATTAACTTGATTTGTTGTGTAAGCTTATATATTTGCTTACTTTCTGTGATAGCTTAAGACTTACTTGAAACAAAAGGACAATTTTTTACTCTCATCATTCTGTAAAAATTATTCCCATACAGTGTAAAGATTGTGTTTAATGATGAGGCTGCACCACACTGAACTACTCTGTTAACAGTTTCAGTCAAGGGACCTCTGTTTCCTTCATTATGTGCAAAATTACAGCTTTTTAACAGCTCTATCATTTAGCAACTGTCACACTTCTGTTTAACTAAGACCCACGGCCAGGTTTTCTACTCTTCTAGAACACCCACATTTAGCAGTGGTTGCAAAGTAGCCTGAAGCCAACAAGTATTATGGAAACTCTGATGAGAATGAGAACACCACACCCAATATTTAAACATAGCCACACTCTAAAAGACAAGTACCTATAATGACTCAATATTGGAGCAGAGGGAGACTGGCACACTTTGATTGCCCAGAGTAACAGATTTAGGTCTTTTATCTGTGGCTGTGATCCAGTTCTTGTAGAAGTGAATTTCCGTATTCTTTACTCAGCAAACCCTAATAGCTGTCAACAGGAAAACTCTGTTGTTCACTCTGCCTCTGATGTAATCAAATTAAATATATCAGACATGCACAATTATGATCTTAAATACATAAACATGAGCTTCAATTTCAGTCTCATGTCTTTTATGATCCTTTGGAACCTAAAACTTCTTTCAAGAATTTCATAATGGCCTGATCAAAGGACATTCCTTTCTAAGAACTCCTGTCAAAACATCCGAGTTCTACATAACCCACCTAAGCATGGCAGAGTTTCAGAGTAAGTAAAGAGCTTAAGATCTGACAAAATTGTATAATTAGCAGCCAGCACAGATCCCTTCTACACTCCACTACAGCCTCCCCTGTTGTGGGTGTTGACATGGCAAAAGAAAATAAAGTATAGTTGAAGTCTACACTCCAAGACAGTGTAAAACTGCAGATGAAGTTATAGATTCTTTGTGCTGTATTAAGCTGCCTGCTGTTGCCACCACCCCTTGTGTTCATCCTCTAACAGCAACCTTTTTCCTAAACAGGAAGTTATCTTTCATTTCTGGAGATCACCTCTTCACCTTCATAATCTTCAAGCCCCGCGTGGAGTATGTTTATGCTTTCTGGTTTTAGAAATAATGCCTTACCATTCTGATATTGCTCCCAGACAAGAAACTATTCATATTCAAGTTATAAACATTTAGTAGCAAAAAGAATGCAACAAAGTTCAAGTTTACACACACACACACACATACGTATATATCTTTAAGATGCCAGTCATGGAACAATCTTCGCAAATGTGCTTCAAAACAAACGAAAACTAAATTCACTATTACCCTAAAAGGAGTCAAAATGAGGTGAAAAGATAATGACCCTATCTTTGTGAACATCAATTGGAGCCTATCCTTCCCTTGAGGGACGTGGTGAAGCTGTGGGTTAAAACCACAGGTCAGAAGACCAGCAGTCGTAAGATCGAATCCACGCAACAGAGTAAGCTCCCGTCACTTCTCCCAGCTCCTGCCAACCTAGCAGTTCGATAGCATGCAAATGCAAGTAGATAAATAGGTACTACCTCAGTGGGAAGGTAACTGCATTCAGTATCTAGTTGCGCTGGCCACGTGACCATGGAACCTGCTTTCCGGACAAACGCTGGCTCTATGGCTTGGAAACGGAGATGAGCATCTCACCCTAAAGTCAGACACGACTGGACTAAATGTCAAGGGGAACCTTTACCTCTACCTATTCTTCCCTTGCTAAAATCACATCTGGTCACCCTATATCTTCTGAAGATGGGGAGGGCCCAGATACAAACTAAAGAGAAGGAAACACTGAAGAGTTCATTGAGACAGCAATGATTAAATTATGAAGTGACTGTGCTATTGACAAAATATACCTGAAACCAAATTTGCTTTCTCCTCAGTCATGGAAGAATATCTTTAAAGTCTACAGATAAGATTTTAAAATAAGAGAACTTTAAAGTCAACCCTCTAAATAAATTTAAACAATTATTACAATGTTTTAGCCATCTGAAACACTGCAACACATCTGAAAGGAGGAAGTAGGGGAACAGAATCTAATAGAAAGCAGATGACAGGGTTCTGTCTGTATGTCAAGGCAACCAGCTGTATTGTAACTACTGAAGAAAAAACGCAGTGGATAACTTCTTTGTTACTGGCTTTTTTTCAAATTGCAGTTTTAGAACATTAAGGAAAAATTTAAGAAGTTATGGTATTTGCACAGCTTTTTAAACAGGCTCAAAAAACGGCTGACAATGTGGCTTAAATTCTTGTCTTTTTACCTTTTTACCTTAATTTACCTTAAATACTGTACTTAATTGAATACTGTACATCCACATCAAATTTGGCTGTTTTGTTTGTATGTTTTAAAGAAATTGAGGGGCAAAAATCTGTCTTCCTGGACAAATGACTTGGTAGAAATATTACAAACAAGTAAAATAATTCTACTATCTATACAGCTCAATAGCAGATTCAGAAAAGACAAACACAAACTAAGTGTTGACTGAAGCTTGTTTTTTGTTTGTATAAATTAACTCAGATATCATATTCTTCTGCAATAGGGGAAGACTAGTATTTAAGGGCAAAGTCTGCCTTTGCAACCACTGTTTACTACAAAACAAAAAAAATGAAGTATCAGAATCATGATATAAATCATAATCATGTCCTGTTGAAAGTACATGTCTTATGCCTTGTCTCAGTTTGGTCACTTAAATTTGGACTTCCTTCTGGCTGGATAGCTCAGTGGTTTAGGTATCTGGCTGCAAAGCCAGAGGTTGGGAGTTTGAGTCTCCAATGTGCCTCCTGTAAGTACAGCTAGCCTGGGTGGCCTTGGGCAAGCTGCACAGTCGCAGGATATCCCCAGAAGAAGAGAACTGTTAACTACTTCTGAGTATTCTCTACCTGTAAAACCCTGAAAAGGGTTGGCCATAAGTTAGAACTGACTTAATAGGACATGATTATTATTACACTCTTGGTATTCAATGCATCAAATTTCCAATCACTGTCTGGTTCACATTCTATTATTTGGGGAAGCCTATCTGTCAAAGACATGACAGACACATACCAGACACCATTATCTCTCAAGTACATTCTGAATGGTATGGGCTGGACTTCAAATCAGCCAAACTTAACAGTAAGGCCCACTGATTGTAGTGGGACTGCTGTAAGTATGACTCACTACTGACCTAACACATTATCTGACTAAACACTTCTTTCCCATTTCAACCCTTCTATCCACAACCTTCTCCTCCATACATGCTCCCCTCAAATGCCCAAACTACAATCTTCTGTACAGTTCACAACATCGACATATAAGATCTGAACTCTAGCAGCACTCCACACACACTACAGCCTCCCCATTCTAGTGCTCCCAACACCCTAAGGCAGAACATTTTTCAGCAAAGCCTGCCTTAGTGATACACCACACACTACAATCCTCTCCCATTCCATGTATCTTCAGACTTGCTCCTTGGGCGGCAAAAAGAACAAAACACCCACATCTTAGGTACTGACAACCCCATATCGGACCTATCTCCAAACAAGCTGTGCTTCGAGTGCATTCAGCGAACTATCCCTTAACTCCTTTCAAGCCTTGCCACTCGTTCACACACCCATTTCTTCCAGGTATATGCACTATGCTTTCGCCACACACTCTTGCCACAGGTCCCTTTCTAGGAACTCCACCCCCGGTTTTTAAAAATTCAACCTGCTCTGCGCCTTACCTCCCATTCCACTCCCTGATCCCTCCCAATCACTCTCCAACGCCTCCCCCCTTTCTCCCCTTTGTGCCTTCTACACACTTTCCTTCCTCCCCACCCACATCTTGGACTTTCCTTCCGGCAAGTCCTCTCTTCTGCATTCCTCCTACAACTCCCCCATCTGTCCGCCTCCCTCCCCCGCCGCCGCCGCCTTTGCCTTTAGGTCACATACCTACTAACCCTTGTTCCTGCATCCACCTCCTCCCCACCCCCGGCCACCATTAACCACGACCACCACCCCACCCCCTTGTTTTGCCCCTGGCGATTAGCTTCCCGCTTTATCCACCGCCCCCTCCCTGTCACGCATCTTTCCCCCCCGCTCCTCCTCTCCCCCCTCTCCAGCCCCGAGAACCGCCTTTTTCCTTTCCATGCCCCCTCCCCACTTTCTCGCCTTCTTGACCTCCTCCCTCCCCAGTTCTACCCCCGTCACCACCTCAAACGCTTCTGGCCCTCGCCCCGCCTTCTTCCCCTTACCTTGTCGAGGCAGTTCACCTTTTCGGTCGGGTAGACGATCTTGCCACAACGGGCGCAACTGGGGTTCATGGCGGCCAAAGCGAGGAAACGAGGGGTATCCGCGCGGGTTCAGAAAAAAAAAGCAAGGGGGGGGAAACGATTCCCGAGCGGGAGGGTGGCGGCGGCGGCGAGAAATATGAAGAAATAGGGTCCCTAGCTGCCTAGAAAAAACGGCGCCCGCGGCGGAGGCAGCGACTCGCAGGCAGGCAAAGCGATGCAAGGGAGGAGGAAGCCGCCCCGTCAACAGCTGCAACCAAATGAAGGAAGGGGCGAGGCAGTCTCTGTCTCCTCACGCGCCTCCGCCCTCTTCCTCGTCAGCTCGAGTTAGCTAGCCAGCCAGCCGGCGCGCGCGCGCGCGCTCTCGCAACGGACAGGAAAGACGGGCGAGCGAGGGAGGCGGAGGGGCAGAGGAGAGATTCAGGGGAGGAAAACGGCTAGGCGGGGCTGGGGCGCGTGCGAATGAGCGCGCCCGTGCTGAAGTGGGCGGAGGACGTGGGGGGAGGAGGGGAGAGAGAGAAAAGGGGGGGTACGAGCGGCGGGTGAGACTGTTGAGGAGAATCCGAATTACAAGGCTCTCCGTCTACAAATTACACCCTGCGCCCGTCATGATGTCGTGGCTGGGTGGGTGATTTTTTTCTGCGAGCGAGGGCTTCCGGTTCCTGCTGGCAGGAGGGAGCTTAGAAAAATCTTCCAAGTGGAAATCCTGTATAAACCCACTTACCCCGGGCGGGGAGAGCGACTTTGAAATCATAACGATTTGCTTTTGAGTAGATATAAAACCCTGTGACGGCAGAGTCGGGGTTGGGGATGGCTACCCTCTTACGCTCATGAGAAAGAAGTCCCCTCCCCCCCAGTAAAAAAAGCTCGAAGGGGTTTATTTCTGAAGAGACAAATCAAATACTGTAAATATCAAATAAAAAATAATGCAGACAAATAAAGCAGCATCTGCAGACTGAGGTGCTACCTTTTCATGGCAGGGTTTTGAAGTAACCCTGTTCTCTCAAAGGGCTGAAGAAAACCATATCATTCTAGATGTTGAATTGTAGCTCTCAGCCACCCTAAAGTGTGGAAGTGATGAGGGAACTAGGAATTCATCAGTAACAAAGCCTCCTTCCTCTTTAAAACAATAAATACATCATCTGTTCTCCCGCCCATCCTAGTCTGGACCCTTTGGGTGACGAGAAATTCAACAGGTGAAAAATAGACATATACTCTAATGTTGCAAGGGAGGTCATACTTCCACTTCTGATAGTACATCCAGTACCTCATGTATAGGAATCAATGTACTGTACTGTACTGTAATTATTTCAGTCCCCAACATGGCACATCACGAATTTACATTCACCGTGTTGAATAAAATTACTGGATCTGAAAAGACACAGAAGGGCCATCTTCCCAAGATGTTTATTCTTGTACGTGTTACGGTACTTCTAAATAGAGATTAAAATCCTACTCTGTATGCAAGCTGTTACGCCTCAGTCTTTTTCCTAACTAAACTTCACTATTGAGAGATTTTTGAATATATATATTCAAGCCTCCCAGTGAAAATCAGACAAAAAAGATTGCTGTTGTGGTCAAGAGTATCTTTCTGAAGAAAATGTACTGCCCATGTACAAGGAACCACTGACAGCATCTTACTTGCTGTCCTTCCAGAGCAGAACTTTCCCGTGAAAAGGAGTAGCCAGTTGGAAAGCTAATGTGCCGAAAAGTGTCTGGTCAGAAAGTTAAAAATATGAAAAGAGAAAAGGGACTCAATAGAGGTTGGGAATGGAGAGACCAAACAGCAAGCAGTGAATTTTAATTTATTCAATTAATAATTTATTTTATCCTATATTTCGGAGCAGTATTTTTTCAGTCCAGTTGGGATCCCTTCTGAATTTTATTTGTAATAAAATATTGCTGATGCATCCAACACATAAATAAACCAAACCGTTATTTACACTGGCAAAATGTTTAACCCTTCTTTGCAGTTATGATTGTGCCTTTCAGCCTTGAGGGAGGGGGACTGTTTTCATAACCAGCTGCTTGACATCTGTGGCTTTTTCCAAGAGCCATGTTTTCCTCTTCTATGTGTATCTGTAGAAGCCTATGGGTGTTCAAGCTTAATTGTAACAGAATTTAAAAGGGGAAAGAAAATGGCAGTGACAATGCAGCATGCACAACTTAAAAACTCCATGACATGGCACCAGTGATCCATTTTGCTTTTGTGTCCAGACTGAAGAACTGTGTGGTCCAAGAACTTGACATACAACATTTTTACATGTTTGTTCAACTAAGAAAATTTATTTGCTTGCTGTTTGACTCTTTTTGTTATTCTTTTGATCCAAATGATTGCAGAGACGAATTGATTTTTTTATCTGTTTATTAGTTTTACAGTGATAGGTTCAAAATAAAGGGGGCACAAGAGATCTATGATCACATTGCTCCCCCCAACATATTTTTCTTTGCTTAAAAACTAATGTTGCATTTCAGGACCTGATTTTAATTTGGGAATGGTTCTGCAAAGGGTTAACATTTCCTTTCTGCACCATTTTTCAGATAGAATTTTTCACTGAAGGGAAAAAACAGATCTATTTTGTTCTTTGCCCATGGCTAAATGTTACCTGCTAGCTGGATAGCTCAATGGTTTAGATTGAGCTTGGGAGTTCTATTCCCCATCGTGCACCTGTGACTACAGCCAGCCTGGGTGGCCTTGGGCAAGCTGCAGAATCCGCCAGAAGGGAGTGATAAACCACTCCTGAGTATTTACTACCTGGAAAACCTTGAAAAAGGCTACCGGAAGTCAGAATTGACTTGATGGCATCTGATTGCTACCTGGAAAACCTTGAAAAAGGCTACCAGAAGTCAGAATTGACTTGATGGCATCTGATTATTATTATTAAAAGTAATCTGGAAGTAAGGATTTATATCATGAAATTGGACGGCAGCTTCCTATTCCCATCCATCCAAAGTGAAATCCCTCATGGTGATTTTAACCAAAAAAAATAATCATTTTTATATTAGGAAAGTATATCATCTCAATATGGGAATTTAACAGAGATAAATACAGATACACAGAGAGGGCTTGAGTAATTATACTTGGTCTTGTGTTTTTCTGCAGCATATTAGTATGGTTAATTGATGCTTTAGCTGTAACAACTTCCTATCACTACTCCTTTACAGGGAGCTTAAGAGAGAGTTGAAACACTTCACATTTTTTAAAAACCCACTTGTGAAATGGAGAATATAGTGTGTGATTTGTAGATCATATGTTCAATAAGATCTGTAAATCTTACTTCTGTTACTCTGGAAGTCTGGAACAATCTCTGAATGCCAGTCTTATTTGAAATTGGAAGTCTCCAAACCGATTCCAGTACTTTTTGGTATGAATGCATAGGTGTCTGGTGTCACCAGTGGGGGTTAAAACAATACTCTCTAGCCAGTTAGCTACGGAGGGGATCCAACTTGTTTGTCAGACGTTAAACAAACCAACAATTATCAATCTATCAGTAATACATAAACATCTGGCACCATGAGCAATCTATGGACAATAGCACCCTCTGGGGTTATAGCCTGGGATTGTGAAAAAACGTCAGCTGCTAAAGCACACATTTACTTGTGTAAGGGACATCTCAAGTAATAAAAAATTTTTTGTATGTTTAAAAAATATTTTTTTTTCTGGAGGAAGATGTGATGAAAGCTCCTACTGTGTTAAGATACATGATATTTCTTTTATATCCAGTTATGAAACGGATATACGATTCCAAGTTATATGACATCAATCTGTATTTGCTTACTATTACTGTACATTCCTTCCCCTACCTATATGTTTTGGTCACATCCTGCCTCATGAAAGGAACTAAAGATCTCACAAACTTGCACATAATATGTGCTCTTCTGGTTGGCCTAATAAAGATATTGCAGGTGTTAGTGTAATTTCTTACATATACATTGTGAGATGGTTGTGGATACCTATACATCATGTGCTATAAAGTTGGTTCTGACTATGTCAATTATCCCAGGGTTTTCCAGTATAAAGTACTCACAAGTAGCTTACCAGTCCCTCCTTGTGGGGCACACTGGCACCATGACACCTGACCAAGAGCCTACAAGGAGCAGGGCATATAACCCCATTGGCTACGTACATATGCGTTGATTAAACTTAGTGGACCCTCTCACTGGAGGCATTCAAACTCCTCGGCTGCTGAGCTATACCTGCACTATTAAAAGAACCTGCTTATGCACATATCAAGTTGCTGTGGTAAAAAAAAGAAAGCAAACATATTCAACCTGCTCCCCAAACTGAGGTCTACTTTGGCTGTCATTTAACAAAAGACAACTAACACCAGATTTTCATCTGAAAAAAATAATTGTAATATTAGCTAGTGTGCTGTACACAACAGCCTGATTCCCTGAGCAACAATGTGAACTGTGGGCAGGCATAGCCATATGGTCCATGGGCCAAATCCAAAAACAGAATGAGCAATAACATTTATTAGACCGCTAAACTATCACAGATAGGCAGCGTTTGCATCCTACAGGATTCTTCATCAGATGGGCCATTGCTGATCTTGCAGGACAGGGAGAAAGATCATCCTAACTAAATGTTGAAACCCTAGGATTTGTAGTAAAAATAGTATAAAAATAAAATAGTAAAAAACAGTCCAAGATTAAGGTTCAGCCTGACGCAGTGGTTCCCAGCCTTGGGTAACCCAGGTATTCTTGGACTGCCACTAACTATAGCCTTCACCATTAGCTGTAGTGGCTGGGCTTTCCGGGTGATATAGCCCAAGAACACCTGGGTTACCCAAGATTGGAAACCACTGGTCTGACGTGTTTGGAAGTATCAGGTTTTATCTGCAGAATATGAGTACAAAGTCAGTTATCTTTGACTGCATAAACAAAGTTAATGCCAGTCGTTCAGTGAATGTTCTGTTGCCGTATATCATAATATTTCTGCTGTTATCTGGAATATTCTCCTTTATTCATTTCTCAAGTACAAATATTTGGTGTCTCATTGCAGCAAGGCACAGAGTGCAAATCCTTCTGCTTTGTAAGCACAATGTCCCAGCCAGACATTGCTTTCCAAACTAAGCTTTTTTTTTTTGGTACACTGTCAACTGACTTGACACAAATAGGGAAATAAGCCATGCTACTTCATGAAAAGGGCAGGGAACGCCCACAGCAAACAACAGACAAGGGCAACAGGTTTCAGTTTTCACATTACTGTATACTAAAAATCCCAAAGAATTTAATGATTTACAGAAAACTGGAAGGGTCTTAGACAGTTCTTTTTGCACTTAGTAATTATATTATGATTGTCTCAAGACATTTTGCATCTTGAAGCAGGGCAACAAATGGCATCCCCCACCCCACAGTCAAGAAAATGCCACAAGGA